AAGTTTTACCCGCAACCCCATGATAAGAAAACTGTAAGTGATACTGCACTGCTAGCTAATCTAAGCTAACGAGCAGCAGTAACTCGGGGACACGGGCTGCTAGGGGCACGGGCAGCGGTGACCCCCTTGGCCAGCAAAGAGAAGTGACTGGGCTAGCGGGAAGCAGTGACTCCCAAGACTAGCGGGCAACAATGTACTTCCTGGGGAGCGAGCAGCAGTGACTCCCTAAGCTAGCGTGCAGCAGTGACTCCAAAGTCTAGTGGGTAACGATGTACTCCCTGGGCTAGCGGGAAGCAGTGACTCCCAAGGCTAGCAGGCAGCGGTGACTCCCAAAGCTAGCGGGTAACAATGTACTCCCTGTGCTAGCGAGCAGCAGTGACTCCCAAAGCTAGCGGGCAGCAGTGACTACCAAGGCTAGCGGTACTCCCTTTGCTAGCGAGCAGTAGCGATTCCCAAGGGTAGCGGGCAGCAGTGACTCCCAAGGCTAGCGGGTAACGATGTACTCCCTGGGCTAGGGAGCAGCAGTGACTCCCTGTGTTAGCGAGCAGCAGTGACTCCCTACGCTACCGAGCAGCAATGACTCCCTGGGCTAGCGAGCTGCAATGAATTCCTGGCCAATGGCTACTGAAATGCAGCAAGGATTCTTCTTAAGACAAGATTGCTGACAAATAATTTCAGTGATCTCTCCCGCTCTTCTATAAGGAGGATTGCAACCCTGCCGTGCTGAAGCCGCTCCAAAAGCAACCGTCATAGTTAAAATTCAAGAATCACTGATACACAAACCACTCGAACGAAAACCCGTTATCCAAACCCACGTTCGCGCAATATCAGCTGCATTTTTAGCTTGGAATAACCACGGAGGGTTTGCTTGTGGGAAGCGCTGTAGATGCTAGGTAAATCAAAACGCAAAGCGTAATTTTGGCTCTGTCAATTCTAAGGCCGCTCAAAAAGCGCACCCCGGGCATTTGACAGTTTGTTTTTAGAAGGTGGCAAATGCCTCACTGTGGAGCAGCTGGAGCATACAAAATCGCCATGGTGGGGCTGTGAGAAAAGTGCAAATGTCTCACCTATGGGATAGTGTCAAAATTATATTTAATAGCGAAATTGCCGTGTTCTCGCGAGCTCTAACGTGGTAAAACATTTTCTATTTGTTAAATAGCTTTTAAAGTTTGATTATGACTGTTATTCACGTACTCAGGTTTTTTTTGTATAAAGCGTATATATTGAAATTGATTCAAACATGGTAAAAAGTATTGCACATCAGTCTCCGCAAAGACAAAGACAAAATCGCGAAGGCTGTGTTAAATGAATGATAAAATATAGTTAGCTCGAATTTACAGTGGAAGTTTTGTTCGTACGGACGCGCGGACCTACGAACAAAACGTCCACTGTAAATTCGAGATAACTATATTTTATCATTCATTTATTACAGCCTTCGCGATTTTGTCTTTGTCTTTGCGGAGACTGGTGTGCACTACTTTTTACCGTGTTTGAATCGACGGACGTACGGACGACGGACGTACGGACACTCATGTGACAGCCAGAAATTTCGTAGCTAGACGGGTAACCAAATTTTCGTACATAAGAGGCGCTGCCTGTGGGACTTTGGCTTACAGGATCTCCGCTATCAGTGGTCATGAAAAACAAACAAATAAACAATTGTTCGTATTTCAGGCTGTATAGCTAGGACAAATTTAAATGTGATGCCAATTTGTGATGACAACATTTTCATTTGAGACACCAGCTCTTATTGAAATTTAAGATCGCAAGTAGCGACCGAGTCTTTAATTTTTAACATTTATTCGCCGAAGCTGATTTCCGCTTCTGTTATATTCACCGCCTGGCGCGGTGAATAAAACGTCATATAAGGAATCGCTCAACTAATCCGGTTGCCGGAAACTCTTTGTTCAGCTCTGAAACCATACTAAATCACAATATCAGGGATTAAAAAAAACCCTGAATGGTTCGCTTATAAGACCAAGAAACGTTTTCGAAGGCCTGAATGTGATGCCGGTTTGAAATGTCTGCTCTTATTAATTGTACTTGAATAGCAAGAAAAGCTTAGTATCCAGATGCTTGAATGTATATTAAAATCACCGTAAAAGTATTGGAAATCTCTCAGTCGTCCAAACGTGGAGGTATTTCGAGACTCTGGTGTCTGGGTCTTTTATTTGTTAGAATTCTATCTTTCATGATCTCCGTCTAACTTCTACTGCTTCTACTTCTATTGCTGCTTCTGCTCAAGTACTCGACTGACAAATGCACACGCACTTAAATGTAGCTAAATGTCATATCGGTAGCCATGTGTCGGCCACATGGGACGTATGAACTTGAAGGGTTAAACATCTTTTGTAGAATACTAACCCAAAAACTTTGACGCGACTTTCAGGAGCGAACTACAACGTTCTTGAAACAATACAAGCGATAGAAACTTAAGTTTAGAGATCAAGAAACCTAACCTTCAGGTCAAGGCCAGCCGGACAAACCTAAACATGACCATCGATGGGGTATTGTTTAGAGCTTGAGTATTTTCGATAAACCTTAATGTTAACAACCTGAAGTCATAAGGCTCACTGTGTGAGCAGTGGTGCCTTAGAATCACAGGACTAACGAGGGAACTACAAAATAATAAACATTTGGTGATAACGAACGAAAATTCTGAATTCTAAACAAAATTATT